CGCAAGTAAAGTTCAACTGCTGCTACTGCTGCTGCTACTACTGCTGCTGCTGCTACTACTGTTATTACTGCTGCAGCGTTGGCAGTGGTGCACAGAGACAAAACGTCAACAACAACAACAAAAACAACAACACTCAATACATCCGGCAATAAAACAAACACAAGTGGCCTGAAAGAAGTAAAAACACAATTCCGAGCATATACTTCAAAGCATATATGAATAGGTAGTAGGCAACGTTTCGGCCAATGAACAACCTTCTTCTTCTTCTTCGGGAAATTGGCCACGTGCTATGAAGGTCCATCGTCCGAAACGTCGACTATTACATTTTATAGGTTCTCGCCCTCCACCCTCATCAGCTTTTAAGGCCACGAATATATCACCAGCAGGCGGCATGAAAGTACAGCAAACTTCGTGCGCAGTGCGATAAACAAACAATGATCATCGATCCAGAGGTGGCGTGCACTAGGTTCGACTCCGTTTCCCGGTGCTGCTATCGATTTAAATACCTTAATCTGTCTGTATGTGTGTATATATATATGTGTACGTCTCAAAAACCCTCTGTGGTACATCCCAACAAGGTAGCAAGCTGAAATTTGGTGAATAGGTAACTTTTAGGACACAACAGGAAAAATAAGAAAATCCGAGATTTGCCATTTTAAGGCCGCCAAGCATCGGTTTTAAGTGCCCTATGGGGCCGTCCATAAATGACGTCACGCGATTTTGGACGATTTTTGACCCCCCCCCCTCGTCACACGGCGTCACAAAAAGTCAGACCCCCCCCCCCCCTCAAATATGACGTCACAAAGCTCTGCCCCTCCCCCCCTCAAAGAAATAAAACTTGCTTCAAATCGCTTTAAACTATTGTCATTGTAGTGCGTATTTAATGTGGCGCTGCACTCTGTTGTAGGAGAAAACATTTATTAAAAAGTCTATTTAATTAAGTACAACGTGTTGTCTATATTTATTTAAAGTTGCGCATTTTGACGTGACGTCACATTTCTCAACCCCCCCCCCTCCTCGTCACACATCGTCACAAATGTTTGACCCCCCCACCCCACCCCCTAGGTGCGTGACGTCATTTATGGACGGCCCCTATAAACTAAAGAGTATGGATTCCTGCTTCAAATCAAGATTTCCCATTAAACATGTTTGTTCAAGTGGTGCCATTCACAAACCGTTCAAGATATGAGTGCGGGTTTTTTCGTTTTGATAGACCGTTAAACAGAAAAGAACATTAAAACGACAACTATTGTTCTATCCTTCATTATTTTTTTGATATTTAGGATTCAAGCGGTTTTTAACGAAAAAAAAATCTGAATTTTATGATGTTGAAATTTGCATAATTCGAAAACGGTAAAATATCGGAGAGACTCCCCTTATAGACTTTTAAATTAATCAATGGCTGTGTCAGGTGGTGGCGGGTTTAACAACACATTTATATTTATATAATCTAACCCAAAAACCTCTATAATGGATAATTGGTCGCGAAATCTGACGCTTTAACATCATCACTTTGCCACTCCCCGAATGATTGAGTCAGCACCTTTCCCCCCTCCCCCTCTCTCTCTCTCTGAGTGGTTGATGTAACAATCATTTTGCCACTTTCTGATTGGTTGAGTCAATTCCTTTCCCCCCTCCTCCCCCCCCCTCTCTCTGATTGGTCGATTAATCACTTTACTCCCCCCCCTATCTCGCTCTTCCGATTGCCTGGTTTGTCAATGACCCTGCTCTCCAATTGGCTGGGAATAGTCTACTGCTGTGTGGGTAATTCCCCCAAATCTTTCAAGAGGTCTGGCCAGTGTGAAAGCGTCAAATAAATACCACTCTGGTAATGGGGGTTGGATCTTTAGCTTCTTCCCGCGGCCGGCAAATCCGCCAGCAGTGGTGCGAGAAGGACATTTTCAGGGTGAGCGCCTTTACCCTGTGTTGTACTTTGAATCGAAAACCATTTCTATTTTGTATTTGATTCTAAATGTGGAGGGAAAAAACCGGAGGACCCGGAGAAAAATCCACGCAACCACAGAGAGAGACGCAAACTCCAAATATACAGCAGGCGTTCGGGTCGGGATCGAACCCACGACCTCCTGTATACCAGGCGAGGTAGTTAACATCTCGACACAGTGGATGGCACCCCCATACCAACTGGCGCGGGGCAAAGCAATCGCAGGGTTCCACCTCCAGCTACCACCACCACCACGTGTTGTGGTGGTGGCTGTATACAATACCCCTCCACCCCCGATTCTTCACCAAACCCGCAATGACCAGCAATGGTGCAGTATGGCTAAAGACAACCGCATCCACCACAGCCCCACCCTCCCACAAAAATATATCGTGAAGCGGAAGATTAGCGAGCGCTGGAAACCACGATTTGCAAATTGTGTGAATTGTAACTTTGATCCTTACCCGTGCAGTATCGATAGTTCAAGTTTAATGCTCAATTGTGTTGTCTCGGTGCGCTCTGGGACTGTTCTTGCCGTTGTTTTGCTGCTTTTCCCAAGCTTATGTAACTTGAACTAAAACAGGGGGCTCCTCCACTTACGGTCGAGTTAGGTTCCACAAGTCTCTGTTCGTAACACATTGTACAGCATGTACACTAAACGCATGGGGATGGCTTTTGAAGCTGTATGATCTCCGGTAGATGTAGATGCCACTGGTTCTACGTGTTCTGTAGATGTAGATGCTACTGGTTCTTCAAGTTGTGAAGATGTAGATGCCACTGGTTCTTCGTGTTCTGTAGATGTAGACGCCACTGGTTCTTCATGTTCTGTAGATGCCACTGGTTCTTCACCTTCAGCAGATGTAGATGCCACTGGTTCTTCATGTCCTGTAGATGCCACTGGTTCTTCATGTTCTGAATATTTAGATACCACTGGTTCTTCACGTTCTGCAGATGTAGATGCCACTGGTTATTCACGTTCTGCAGATGTAGATGCCACTGTTTCTTCACGTTCTGCAGATGTAGATGCCACTGGTTCTTCACGTTCTGCAGATGTAGATGCCACTGGTTCTTCACGTTCTGCAGATGTAGATGCCACTGTTCCTTCACGTTCTGCAGATGTAGATGCCACTGGTTCTTCATGTTCTGCAGATGTAGATGCCACTGGTTCTTCATGTTCTGCAGATGTAGATGCCACTGGTTCTTCACGTTCTGCAGATGTAGATGCCACTGGTTGTTCACGTTCTGCAGATGTAGATGCCACTGGTTCTTCACGTTCTGCAGATGTAGATGCCACTGGTTCTTCACGTTCTGCAGATGTAGATGCCACTGGATCTTCACGTTCTGCAGATGTAGATGCCACCACCGCCATCTATTGCACGGCGGTTGAACTGGGACATACGGACAGGTTTGTTAGTATCTCTGAAAGTTCGTAAGTCGAATGTTCCTAGGTCGAGGAGTCCCTGTGTATGCCATCTATTTTACGTGTTTATTTTTAGTGATTTTCTTACCTTTGCCAATACTTTGCACCTCCTGTCGTTGTGTGTGTCTGTTTGTAACGTTTGTTGCCGTTGCAACTTTCTGACACCCGTGCCCCCCACTGGACACCCGTGCGTAAAGAGCTTCACGGCTCATCGGATTCCTCCAGGGATAAATTAAAAACAAATATTTCTGAGGTTGCTGTTCGGATCTCGCCCTCGAGACGGGGAACTCTTCCCGTCGGCGCGTCTGCATCACATGCTCAAGGTGAACTTTGTTATTCCAGCTAAAGGGTTTAGTAGCGGCCGCGGTCGGACACCGTGTAGGTACAGCTACTAAAGGTTGGTTTACGAACGCGTCTCTTCGCGATATGTGCATACCGGTCTGTGTACGTGCCTGTAAATAATAGCAACGTGTACATATATACACACAACGTTATGTGTGTATATATATGTACACAATATGGGGTCATAGACGCCCCCCGCCCTGTATAGCTTGTGCAAACTATTCGGGCGAGTGCCGTTAACGAGCACCTGTTAAAGGCGAGGGGGTTGTGAGGCCAGCACCACGCACGGCCGCCTTCGTATCCCCGCTCGCGGTCCTACGCTACAAAGCTGGCGAGCCGAGTTCGACTCCCCGCCACGGCTAACGTCAGTGGCGATTCACATCTCACATCGGTCCTGGGTCTCCTCCCAAGTAGACTCGGACTCAAATGAGCAGCTGGTGCGGTGTGTAAACAACAGGGGAGGGGAGACAAAGGCGGCCGGGCGTGGTGCGAGCCACACAACTCCCTCGTGTGTGCAGTGCCGGCCTTCATAGGTGTTGCTGGCTAACAGCACTTGCCCCGACAGTCTGTTACAGGCTATAAGGGGGGGGGGGGGTCTTTGTCTTTGCGTGTGATATACTGTTTGCTTCTATATATGTGTGTGTGTGTCTATGTTTACGTGATTACACGTGTGTATTTATGCGTACTTATATAGGACTGGCCACACCACCTCCTCGTGTACCGTCCCAGCCTTCACAGGTGCTGCTCGCTAACAGCACTTGCCCCAACAGTCTGTTACAGGCTATACGGGGTATCTTTGTCTTTGTGTGAGTCTGAGAGACTTGGGACTCGGACTGCAGTTTGCACGTCTCGTGCGTGCGCGTGTATCCATATATGTGCATGCGTGTGTGCATGTGTGTAAGTGTTAAGGGGGATATTTGTCTTCGTGTGAGCGAGTGAGGGTGTGTGAGTGAGTGAGTGTGTGCATGAATGAGTGAGTGTGTGCGTGTGCGTACAAGTGAGTATAAGTGTTAAGGATATGCGGGGGATATTTGTCTTTGTGAGTGAGTGCGTGAGCGAGTGTGTGAGCGAGTGTGTGAGTGAGTGTGTGAGTGTGTGAGTGAATGAGTGTGTGAGCGAGTGTGTGAGTGAGTGAGTGTGTGAGCGAGTGAGTGTGAGTGTGTGAGTGAGTGTGTGCGTCTGAGTATGTGTGTGAGTATTTGAGCGAGTGTGTGAGTGAGTGAGCGAGTGAGTCTGACTGAGTGTGAGTGAGTGAGTGTGTGAGTGAGCGAGTGTGTAAGTGAGTGAGTGTGTGAGCGAGTGAGTGTGTGAGTGAGTGAGTGTGTAAGTGAGTGAGTGTGTGAGTGAGCGAGTGTGTAAGTGAGTGAGTGTGTGAGCGAGTGAGCGAGTCGGCTAGACTTGAGACTCGGACTGCAGGCCGTGGGCCTCCTCCTTGTCATGGGGCCTCGTGCCGATGGAGGCGGTGGCGGCGTCCCCCCCGAATGCGGCCGCGATCTCCTCGAAGCTGCGGCCCTTTGTCTCGGGCACCTTGAAGTAGGTGAAGAGGCAGAAGAGGGCGAGCAGCACCACGAAGATCACGAACACGTAGGGGCCCGTGAGCTCCTGCAGGGACACACCAACAACGTCATCAGCATCACCAACGTAGTCGTCGTCAGCATCATCATCATCATCAGCAGCAGCAGCATCACCAACATCGTGGTCATCATCATCATCACCGCCACCAACATCATCTTCAGCCGTCGCTGCGAGGTGCGAGCGTTGCCGCTGCGCTTCCACCACCTCCCTGGCCGGTCAAAATATTCTTCTCAGCGCCGCCAACAACGCCACCTATGCGTTAAACGATGACGACGACGATAATGACGATGATGATGATCACGACGACGACGACGACGATGATGATGACAAGGATGACCATAATGATGAGGACAATGACGATTATGACGACAATAATGACAAAGATAGCGATGGCGGCGATGACGACGACATCGACGATGACGACAACGATAACGACGACGACGATGAAGATGATGAAAACGATGACCACAATGACGACGATTATGACAATGATGGCAACGATAATGACGATGACGATGAAGATGATGAAAACGATGACCACAATGACGACGATTATGACAATGATGGCAACGATAATGACGACAACGATGACGACGATGACGACGACGACGACATTGATGACGACAATGACAGTGACAGCGAGCGAGAGTAAGTCCCCGCGGTGGCCCACCTCGATGTACTGGAAGCACATGCTGACGAGGAAGTTGGCCGTCCAGTTGACGCAGCCGGCGATGGCGATGGCAGCGGGCCGCGGGCCCTGCGAGAAGAGCTCAGCCACGATGAACCACGGGATGGGGCCCGGGCCGATCTCAAAGAGCGCCACGAAGCCGAAGATCGCCACGATGCTCACGTACGACATCCACAGCAGGGTTTTCTGCACACACGAGGCCGGTGAGTGGTTGGGGGGGGGGGGGGGGGGTGCGGAGGGGGGTTTAAGGGGTCGTGGTTCAAGGGGGTCACGGTTCAAAGGGGGTCAAGGTTCAAGGGGGTCATGGCTCAAGGGGGTCACAGCTCAGGGTGGGGGTTGGTGGGTCACGGTTAGGGTTAATGAGTCAGGGTTAGGGTTGGTTGGTCACGGTTAGGTTTAGTGGGTCAGGGTCAGGGTTAATGAGTCAGGGTTAGGGTTAATGGGTCAGGGTTAGGGTTGGTTGGTCACGGTTAGGTTTAGTGGGTCAGGGTTAGGGTTAATGGGTCAGGGTTAGGGTTGGTGGGTCAGGGTTAGGTTTAGTGGGTCAGGGTTAGGGTTGGTGGGTCAGGGTTAGGGTTGGTGGATCAGGGTCAGGGTTAATGGGTCATGGTTAGGGTTGGTTGGTCACGGTTAGGTTTAGTGGGTCAGGGTCAGGGTTAAATGAGTCAGGGTTAGGGTTAATGGGTCAGGGTTAGGGTTGGTGGGTCAGGGTTAGGTTTCGTGGGTCAGGGTTAGGGTTGGTGGGTCAGGGTCAGGATTAATGGGTCAGGGTTAGGGTTGGTTGGTCACGGTTAGGTTTAGTGGGTCAGGGTCAGGGTTAATGAGTCAGGGTTAAGGTTAATGGGTCAGGGTTAGGGTTGGTTGGTCACGGTTAGGTTTAGTGGGTCAGGGTTGGTGGGTCAGGATTGATGGGTCAGAGTTTAGTGATTGCATTAGCATCATAGTTAGCCTTGTGACCGGGGTTAACATTTACCCTAACACATGACCCTAACCTTGACCCTAACCTTGACCCTAATCCTGACCATGACCCCGCCGCCGTGTGGCCGCAGCCACCACCGCACCTGCAGGCTGAGCGCGATGGTCATGATGATGGCACAGACGCCCATCCCTGCCAGGCCCACGAGGTGCAGCGTGCGGCGCCCCGCCCGCTCCACCAGGAACAGCTGGCCACCGCGGGGGGGGGGGGGGGGTGGAGGAGGGGGAGGGAGAGAGGAGGGGGGGGATGGAGGAGGGGGAGGAGGGGGGGAGGGAGGGAGAGGAGATGGGAGAAGGGGGAGGAAGGGGAAGAGGGGGGAGGGAGAAGGGGGAGGAGGGAGAAGGGGAAGAGGGGGAGGGAGGGAGGGAGAAGGAAGGAGGGAGGGAGTGAGGGAGGGAGGAGGGAGGGAGGAGGGGTAGGAGGGGGAGGGGGAAGAGGAAATGGATGAGGAGAACGAAAAGGAGGTGGAGCAGGAGGAAGTGGAAGAGGTGAAGGAGATTGAGAGGCATGTATAGGAAGTGAGGAGGGGGGCGAGGAGAGAAGGATGAGGTGGAGGAGGTGAGGTCATAATAAGCATCGGGAATAGATTTAGGATCGGATTGAATGGTGCCAGGGGGAATCAGTTCGATTCACAATGGACGTGTGGGAGACACTAAGCTGACACTGCAGAGAACCTAGGTTTGAGCCCTGGGTCTGGGTGTTCATCTCTCACTCTCTGTCTATCTCTCTCTGTCTCTCTTTCTCTGTCTCTGTATCTCTCTATCTCTCTGTGAGGTTCACAATGACACTGTCAGATAGACGGAACCCTGGGTCTGTGTGTGTGTCTCTCTCTGTGTGTCTCTCTCTGTGTCTCTCCCTCTCTCTGTCTCTTTCTCTCTCTCTGTGTGTCTCTCTATTCCTCTGTCTCTCTTTCTCTGTCTCTCTCTTTGTATCTCTCTGTCTGTCTGTGTCTCTGTCTCTCTCTCTGTGTCTGTGTCTCTGTCTCTCTCTCTCTGTGTCTCTCTCTGTCTCTCTGTGTCTGTGTCTGTCTCTCTATATGTCTGTGTCTCTCTCTCTCTATCTCTCTGTGTCTGGTGTCTCTGTCTCTCTCTCTCTCTGTGTGTCTGTGTCTCCGTCTCTCTCTGTGTCTGTGTCTCTGTCTCTCTATCTCTCTGTGTCACTGTGTGTCTGTGTCTCTGTCTCTCTCTCTCTGTGTCTGTGTCTCTGTCTCTCTCTGTGTCTGTGTCTCTCTCTCTCTCTGTGTCTGTGTCTCTGTCTCTCTATCTCTCTGTGTCACTGTGTGTCTGTGTCTCTGTCTCTCTCTCTGTGTCTGTGTCTCTGTCTCTCTATCTCTCTGTGTCACTGTGTGTCTGTGTCTCTCTCTCTCTCTCTGTGTCTGTGTCTCTGTCTCTCTATCTCTCTGTCTCTCTCTGTGTCTGTGTCTCTGTCTCTCTCTCTGTGTCTGTGTCTCTGTCTCTCTATCTCTCTGTGTCACTGTGTGTCTGTGTCTCTCTCTCTCTCTCTCTGTGTCTGTGTCTCTGTCTCTCTATCTCTCTGTGTCACTGTGTGTCTGTGTCTCTGTCTCTCTCTCTCTCTGTGTCTGTGTCTCTGTCTCTCTCTGTGTTTGTATCTCTGTCTCTCTCTCTCTGTGTCTGTGTCTCTGTCTCTCTATCTCTCTGTGTCACTGTGTGTCTGTGTCTCTGTCTCTCTCTCTGTGTCTGTGTCTCTGTCTCTCTCTGTGTCTGTGTCTCTGTCTCTCTCTGTGTCTGTGTCTCTGTCTCTCTATCTCTCTGTGTCACTGTGTGTCTGTGTCTCTGTCTCTCTATCTCTCTGTGTCACTGTGTGTCTGTGTCTCTCTCTCTGTGTCTGTGTCTCTGTCTCTCTATCTCTCTGTGTCACTGTGTGTCTGTGTCTCTGTCTCTCTCTCTCTCTGTCTGTGTCTCTGTCTCTCTCTGTGTCTGTGTCTCTGTCTCTCTCTGTGTCTGTGTCTCTGTTTCTCTATCTCTCTGTGTCACTGTGTGTCTGTGTCTCTCTCTCTCTCTCTGTGTCTGTGTCTCTGTCTCTCTCTGTGTCTGTGTCTCTGTCTCTCTCTCTCTCTCTCTGTGTCTGTGTCTCTGTCTCTCTATCTCTCTGTGTCACTGTGTGTCTGTGTCTCTGTCTCTGTGTCTGTGTCTCTGTCTCTCTATCTCTCTGTGTCACTGTGTGTCTGTGTGTCTCTCTCTCTCTCTCTGTGTCTGTCTCTCTCTGTGTCTGTGTGTTTCTCTCTCTGTCTCTCTGTGTCTGTGTGTCTCTCTCTCTATGTCTGTGTCTCTCTGTCTCTCTGTGTCTGTGTCTCTGTCTCTGTCTCTCTCTCTCTGTGTCTCTGTCTCTCTCTCTGTCTGTGTCTCTGTCTCTCTATTTCTCTGTGTCACTGTGTGTCTGTGTCTCTGTCTCTCTCTCTGTGTCTGTGTCTCTGTCTCTCTCTGTGTCTGTGTCTGTGTCTCTCTCTCTCTGTGTCTGTGTCTCTGTCTCTCTATCTCTCTGTGTCACTGTGTGTCTCTGTCTCTCTCTCTGTGTCTGTGTCTCTGTCTCTCTCTGTGTCTGTGTCTCTGTCTCTCTCTGTGTGTCTCTGTTTCTCTATCTCTCTGTGTCACTGTGTGTCTGTGTCTCTCTCTCTGTGTGTCTCTGTCTCTCTATCTCTCTGTGTCACTGTGTGTCTGTGTCTCTCTCTCTGTGTCTGTGTCTCTGTCTCTCTATCTCTCTGTGTCACTGTGTGTCTGTGTCTCTCTCTCTGTGTGTCTCTGTCTCTCTATCTCTCTGTGTCACTGTGTGTCTGTGTCTCTCTCTCTGTGTCTGTGTCTCTGTCTCTCTATCTCTCTGTGTCACTGTGTGTCTGTGTCTCTGTCTCTCTCTCTGTGTGTCTCTGTCTCTCTATCTCTCTGTGTCACTGTGTGTCTGTGTCTCTCTCTCTGTGTGTCTCTGTTTCTCTATCTCTCTGTGTCACTGTGTGTCTGTGCGCGTGAGGTCCACAATGGCCGTGTCAGAGGCCGCGGCGGTGTCTCACCGACACGACGGTGAAGGCGACGTTGACGGCGCCGGCGCCGATGGTGGCGTAGACGGGGTTCGGCACGCCGGCGTTGGTGAAGATGCTCGTGGAGTAGAAGAAGATCTGCGACGGAGGGAGACCGACATCGTCATCTTCGTCATCGTCGTCACCGTCATCATCGTCACCGTCATAATCGTCATTGGCATTGTCATCATCGTCGTCATCACCATCATCGTCACCGTCGTCATCGTCGTCATCATCATCGCCATTGTCATCATCATCGTCATCATCATCGTCGCCATCATCATCGTCATCGTCACCATCATCGTCGTCATCATCGTCACCATTGTCATCGTCATCATTATCATCGTCATCATCATCATTACTGTTGTCATAATCAGTACTGTCGTCATCATCATTACTGACATCATTATCATTACCGACATCATCATCATCATTACTGTCATCATCGTCGTCATCAACATCATTATTGTGATCATCATCGCCTCTGTGATCATCAGCAACGGCAATCGATTTCATTGGCGTCATCGTCATCATTGAACCGTCATCATCACGACACGGCGCTGATAACACCGCCGCTGTGATGGTTGACGCTGCGCTGGCTTCGTGCCCTCTTCTCCACTTCCACACGCGAGGCTCACACCGCACATCGTCATGGGGCGCCACGGTGGCTAGGAGATGTTCACTACCTCGCCTGCTCTACGGGAGATCGTGGGTTTCGAGTTTGCGGTGTCTCTCTCCCCGTGGTCGCGTGGACTTTTTTTTCCCCGGGTCCTCTGGGTTTTCACCCTCCATATTTAGAATCAACATCAGCACGCGTTTCGAGAGTATTGTATGTATGTATGTATTTTTTATTTTAAAAAAAATCGCACTGCTATTAGCCACCGGTGCTAATCAGAGGGTGCGGGGGAAGGACAACAAACTAAACACAAAAAGCACTTCTCAAGAAATTAGTTTTTTAATCTAGGCGATGATTTTAAAGGGCATCATAGCTCCTAGTGCCATCCTAGTATCGGAAGGAAGAGCGTTCCCGAAGCGGCGCACCTGAAAGCTCCGTGCGATGGCGATGCAGTGACCCACCACCGTCTTTGTTCGGTGGCTGAGCCAAAATCCTCTGGGGCTGCTGCGAGGATGGCCGGGAGCCCGCGCGGCGATGCTTTACGCTCCCCGGCAAGATCAGCGGCGAGCTACTGTGGTTCATTTGTGGCGAGGACTTTGTCGCGTAACGAGTGCGACCCTTACACAAATGACGAGCCACTTCGTTGAGCTATTCCGGTGAGCTGGCAGGATGTTAACAGGCAAGGGCTTCTAGATCGACGCAAAAGTTGCATAATGCACAGCTCAAGTGAGCCTGACTCTGCTGGTGAGACACTGCGTGTCGAAGCCGGTCCTTGACCGTCAGCATCTAAGCAGTTCACCAGGAGTGTTTGAAGCGAGCCTGACTCTGCTGAGATGAGACACTGAGTGCTGACGATTATCTGAACCGGTCCTGGGCCTCCCTTAGGTCAACTCAGCCTCAAATGAGTACCTGGTGCGGTGTGGAAAAACATCCCTACTGGAGAGACAAAGGCAGCCGGGCGTGGTGCTGGCCACCCACCCCCTCGTGTGCCGTGCCGGCCTTCACAGGTGCTACCCGCTAACAGCACTTGCCCCAACAGTCTGTTTAGATTACTTAAGATTTGTTGGCTGCTATAAATTTGCACATGATGAGCCACTTCGTTGAGCTATCATTTGTGGCCAGGTCACTTCTGAAAAATAAGCTAATAGCTCAGTGGGCTTTTACTTGGTAAGATACCAAAAATGTAGATTTTTTTAAAACATATATTTGTTAACTTATTAATTTACCCTTTCCTCTACTTTGCGCTCCTGTCGCTGTGACGTTCTCTGAACAAAAAAAGAGCTCGGTAGGGCTTACCTGGTGAATATCTTTAAGTTTAACAACAAAAAAAAAGAACCGGTTGGAAGTTTGTTTTTTTCCGTTCAGTTACCGTCGCCGTCATCGTCGTCGTCATCCCCGCTGGGCCTCCCGCGCGCTCCTAGCGCGCAGACGGAAGGGCAGAGCCCCGCCACTCACGGCGTTGATGCCAGAGAACTGCTGGGACAGGTGCAGCACGACGGAGACGAGTAGCGGCTGGCGGTAGGCGCGCGAGCGCAGCAGCGACAGCACCGAGACGCTCTCCTCGCGCTGCATCTGCCGCTGCTCCTCGCGCATCTCCTGCATGTCGCGCTCCACGTCGCCCGTGCCGCGGAGGCGCACCAGCACTGCAGGGCGGCGGAAAGCGAGAGAGTGTGAGAGGGAGGGGGACGGAGAGAGGGATAGAGAGAGGGAGAGAAAGTGAGAGAGTATGAGAGAGAGAGGGAGAGAGAGATAGAGAGTGTGAGAGAGAGGGACGGAGAGAGAGAGACTTTTTGACTTTTAAACAACTTTTATTGCTGCCAGCAGCAACAGCACTGCAGGCGATTCCGATATGAAACACAAAGTCACCAGCAAACAAACAAACAAACGCTATAAATCCACGCACTGTGGCGTTAAATGCGCCACGAACAACACGAAAGAAAAGTCACGTGGTGGTTGTGCTGGTCATCGCGCACGCCACGGTGACGAGCGAGTGTTTCAGAAGGTGAACACGTGGGGTGCCGCCCACGCTGGTACAGAGAGGGGCTTGTCCGGCCCCCCAGCGTTCGAAGAAGATGCGCTGCACATCACCGACACGTGTGTGTGGCACGTGGCGTGCTCCAGCCGGAGCCGCGCCTTAAGCAGGCCTCTGAACACTGGAAGCAGCACAGAGCAGCCGTCAGTGTCACCTTGCAGCGTCTTTTTCCTCGTTCTGTACACCGCCATCTTCGCCTGAGCACAGGCGAAGTTGGCGAGGTCATGGCGCTTGTTAGCCAGGTAAGGCACCACCCCATATACGAAGCTGCTGTTGTAGAAGGGCACCCCCAAGTTTCCTGAAGATGTCCTCCAAAAGGCGGAACATTGGGTTGAGGCGCTGGTAGTGTAAGTACCGGTGGGGCAGATCCTCCCTGGCACCGCAGGAAATGCACCAAGTCTGTTACCCCCTGGCGAGATTCGGCTGAGCCACACGGCCGATGGCAACGTGCAGTGTGCCAATCTCCACTGGAGGTCACCACAGCGTTTGGCTACGGGAGACTTGGACATTTGTTTCCACTGGGGGGCGGCCGCAATGAGGGGGCAGAAATGGTCTCTCCATTTTTAGTGTGAGAGAGAGAAAGAGCGAGAGAGACGTTTGACTGTTAAACCACTTTTATTGCTGCCAGCAGCAATAGCACTGGAGCCGATTTCGATACGAAAAAAGTCATTAATAGCAAATAACCAAACACAATAAAAAGAACGCGCTGCGGCACGTGGCGCTGGACACACGCCACGCACGACGCAAAAAAACATCACGTGGCGGTCGTCGCGCACGGCACGTCCCACGACCGAGCAACGTCAGAAGGTCAAAGGGAGGGTGCCATTCATGCCGGTACAGAGGTCTTTTCCGGCCCCCCAGCGTTCGAAGAAGACGCGCTGCACATCACCGGCACGTGTGTGTGGTACGTGGCGTGCTCCAGCCGGAGCCGCGCCTTGAGCAGGCCCCTGAACACTGGAAGCAGCACGGAGCAGCCGTCAGTGTCACCTTGCAGCATCTTCTTTCTCGTTCTGTACATCGCCAACTTCGCCTGAGCACTGGCGAAGTTGGCGAGGTCATGGCGCTTGCTAGCCAGGTAAGGCACCACCCCATATACGAGGCTGCAGTTGTAGAAGGGCACCCTCAATCTCCTGAAAATGGTCCCCAAAAGGCATAAGTAAGGGCAGATCGTCCCTGGTACCGCAGAAAGCCACACGGCCTATGGCAATGTCCAGTGTGCCAATCTCCACTGGAGGTCACCGCAGCATTTGGCTACGGGAGACGTGTACATTTGTTTCCACTGGGGGGCGGCCACAATGAGGGGAGATAAATTATCTCTCCATTTTGTGTCCAACAGGTCGGCTAGGTCCACGCACCTGCTGTGGGTGCGTGGACACAACTACTTTGCTTCATCAAAGCCTATGTATTTATTAATAATATACATTTATTATCGATTGAGAACCAAAGGCGTGCAAGGCTGCAGTGAAGGTTAAGAACCACTGCTCTAGACGCTACCCGTGTGCCTCAGTCTTTGTTCGGCCCTGCGTGCATCATCTCACGCGTTACTGTGGACTGTGCTTCACTCCCTGCAATATATTATTATTATTATTATTTACGATAACGCGATTATTCCACAATGCGGTGTTCTTCAGGAGCTGCAACCACTCCCACCGTGTTGCCGGAGAACTGGCTGCAACGTGTGCTGGTGTTGTTGTTGTTGTTACGGTGGAGGGACGGCCATGGACAGGAGACCTCCGCTGCTCACGTACTCGCTCCGAGACAGACCGCACGCGGGCCGTCAGGGTCGGGGATCGAACCCACGCCACCCTCCTGCGACACCGCTCGAGGCCGTTCGTATCACCTGAGCCGCCGCCGGCGCCGCCGTAGGAGGTCGCCACGTCTCACCTTGGCGCGCCTCCTTGTCGAGGCCCTCGTTGATGAGGAGGTAGCGAGGGCTCTTGGGGCAAAAGGGCAGCACGGCGAGCTGGGCCACCGAGGGCACCATCGTGAAGCCGAGCAGCAGGGGCCACAGCGACTCAGAGCCCAGCAGGGACTCCATGCCCAGCACCTGCAGCGCGCGGACGACAGCCACGGCACGGGGGCACAAAAGGTAAAGGTCCCACCCCAACACCCCTCTCCCACCGTGTAGCCCACGCTGGCTGTTGGGGCAAGTGGGCCGAGTAAAGGCCGTGGCACGGCACACGCCTTTGAAGGGGGGTGGGGAGCAGGTGGGGGCGCCACGGTGGCCAGGAGATGTTAACTACCTCGCCTGGTGTACAGGAGGTCGGTCCCGACCCTGACGTCTGCTGTATATTTGCAGTTTGTTGCGTGTGTTGCTCTCTCCCCGTGGTCGCGTGTATTTTTCTCCGGGTCCTCCGGTTTTTCCCTTCACATTTAGAATCGACATCACGTGTTTGGAGTATTGGGCTGCTATATATTTCCACATTACAATAAGCCACTTGGTTGAGCTATCATTTAGTGATAGCCAGGTGGCTTCTGAAAAAGAGCTACACAGCTCAGTGGGTCCTTACCTGGTCAAATAAAATTCAAAAAGTTAAATTTATAGTTTCGGATGGGAGCAGAGTTAGTGAGGTGCAGAGTGAGTTGACGAGGTGCAGAGTGAGTAGACGAGGTGCAGAGCAAGTGGACGAGGTGCAGAGCGAGTAGATGAGGTGCAGAGCGAGTGAAGTGCAGAGTGAGTTGATGAGGTGCAGAGTGAGCGAGTGGACGAGGTGCAGAGCGAGTGAAGTGATGAGGTGCAGAGCGAGTGGACGTAGGTGCAGCGCGAGTGTGTTGACGAGATTTAGATTGAGTGGGTTGACGAGGTGCAGAGCGAGTGAGGTGCACAGCAAGTGGACGAGGTGAAGAGCGAGTGAGTAGACGAGGTGCAGAGTGAGTAGACGAGGTGCAAAGTGAGTAGACGAGGTGCAGTGTGAGTTAATGAGGTGCAGAGCGAGTTAATGAGGTGCAGAGCGAGCGAGTGGGCGGGCTGCTGCACCGCCGTCAAGCCTTGCCTGAGCAAAGAGGATGCCGATGACGACGGCGAGCTGGTGCAGGGTGCCCAGGGCCCCTCGCAGCTCGGTGGGGGACAACTCCCCAATGTACATGGGGACCAGGCCCGTGGAGAGACCTGCACCACCACCACCACCAGAGCCACCACCACCACAGCCACCACCACCACAGCCACCACCATCAATATCTCCATCGCCACCACAGCCACCACCACTCCAGCCACCACCACCAATGTCAACACCACCACCATCAATATCTCTATCATATCACGGGACCTCCCTTTCCAGTATAAAAATATACCAATAGGTTGTACCCTTTCTGGCAATAAAACAGATGTTAAAATGTTGAAACACCAAACTGAAACCTCTTTCAAGGAATCATGCCTGCATGTTCACCACAAGTACATGTGGTTAAAGCAGATGTAGTGGGTTCACTGAGAGACACACACTAACTCAGGAGGCAACACGTTTATTCTATGGACCACAACGGGATAACTACATAAACCATGTCAGTACAGTCGGCACACTGCCTGACCCACTATGCCGAGCACGAAGACTGAGGACCGAAGGCCCAGTGGAAGACGCAACACGGAGGACTCCATTCCAGCAGACAGTCTCGACCCAGCCTCGGGACATCCCTTTAATGCCCCCCAGCGTGGCCTGGCTCCGCCCTCGGCCACGCCCCCTTTTGGAACCTACCGGAAGGTTCTGGGCCATACCCCACGTGTCCCTTCTGTCACCTTTGGCCCACATCCTTACCCTGTCCTGTCACGTGCCCTTGCCAGCCAACCGGGCTGCTACATCCTCAGATGCCCCCTCTCTGCCAGCCACCAGCACTACGCCCCCTACGGACATGTTCCATGACATTGCATGCCCTACTAGCAGAGAGGGCTACTACACTCACAGTTCCCCTCTCTATCAGTAACTGGCGGTAGGCGCCGTAGTGACCCATTTTATGTCACTACACAGACATGATCTCCATCACCATAACCACCAATGTCACGTCCACCACCACCACCAACATCATGACAATTACCACCTCCACCACCGACCTTAACTCCACCCTCACCACCCTCACTACCACTCACCACCGCCACTCACCGCAGTAGAGGCCCACGATGAGTCTGCCTGCGACGAGCGTCTCGTAGGAGGAGGCGGCCTTGGATATGGCCATGAGGGTCCCGCCCAGCAGCGCCAGCGCGTTGTTTGCCATGAGGCAGTTACGCCTGCAACACCACCATCACCACCACGACAATTACCACCACAATAATTACCACCACAACAACAATTACCGTAACAACAATTACCACCACAACAACAATTAACACCAACACAACAATTACCACCATAATAACAACAATTAGCGCAACCACCACCATTACAACAATTACCACCACAACAATTACCACAACAACAATTACCACAACAACAATTACCACCACAACAATTTTCCACAACTACAATTACCACCACCACCATCACCACAAGAACAATTACCACCACCATAACAACAATTACCACCACCGTAACATCGATAATTACCACCCGCACAAAAATAATTACCAGCGGGCGTTCGACACTTCACATGGCCTTAACGTGAACATAGCCTGGCACTAGCGCCGTGGTGACGTCATCGCCACTTTGTGACGAATGGCAGGCTGCTGTTCTTGTTGGTGAGGTGGTGAGTCGGCGAGGTGGTGAGGTGGTGAGAAGTGAGGTGGTAGTTGTTGAGAGTTGGTGAGAGTCGGCGAGGTGGTGAGGTGGTGAGAAGTGAGGTGGTAGTTGTTGAGAGTTGGTGAGAGTTGGTGAGGTGGTGAGGTGGTGAGAAGTGAAGTGGTAGTTGTTGAGAGTTGGTGAGAGTTGGTGAGGTGCTGGGCGAGTCAGGAAGGACGCCCCCACCTCACTATCCCCCCCACCCACCCCCAGTCACGCGGGAGTCACAAAGGTCACAGGGGTCGAGGGATGGCTCCTTATTGCTCAACCGTGTTACGTACACTGATTAATTGGCGATTGCTGCTTACTCAGAGAAGGAGTCGGAGGCGCTGCTGCTGAACCTGGAGCGTGCCACTTAAGAGGCGGAGACTTCCAATCAGCCCCAACCAAAACGAAGCCCCTGCCTGGGTGTGTTGTGTCATCAAAGACTGCACCCCACGCAACTCCCCATTGGCGATGGAGCAGTTGTGTGGAGAGTGGAGAGGTGTCCATACTCGGCCAGTGTGAAAACTTGATTTGAAGCTTTCGTGACTGCAGGAATTACTCTCTGGTTCTTTTGGTGAAGTCACGTAGAAAGAAAATGAATTAAATTGAATGCGACGTTTCGATTGCAACACAAGCAGTCGTCATCAGGTAGAACTAAATTTGAGAGAGAGACAAAACACAGACATGGAGACACACATACAGACAGACAAGCAGAGAGAGACAACACAGAGACACACAGAGACACACAACATAGACACACAGAGAGAGACAACACAGAGACACACAGAGAGAGACACAACATAGACACAGAGAGACACACAACATAGACACACAGAGAGAGACAACACATAGACACACAGAGAGAGACAACACAGAGACACACAGAGAGAGACACACAACATAGACACACAGAGACACACAACATAGACACACAGGGAGACACACAACATAGACACACAGAGAGAGACAACACAGAGACAAACAGAGAGAAACACACAACATGGACACACAGAGACCAAATGCCTCTCTAAGGCCACGACACAGATGCATTGGGTCTCTGCCTATCTTGTGTGTCTCTCTGTGTGTCTCTGTGTTGTCTCTCTCTGCGTGTCTGTCTGTATGTGTGTCTCCATGTCTTTGTTTTGTCTCTCTCTCAAATTTAATTCTACCTGATGGCCAGTGTGCTTATGACCAGCTCCGGATTGACAGCAGAGGTCTCACTCCGAATTAGTTGAGCGGCATTATCCTTTCATTGGCCGTGTGGAAGCTACGTGGTCTGTCGCTCCACACGAAGCTCCGGGTCTTCTCGGCCACAGTCATACCCACCCTGCTCTATGCTTGCGAAACGTGGAGCCCCCTAATTGAATATCTGCCCCGGTTAGAAACATTCGTGCTGGCCTGCTTACGATCCATCCTGGGTTTAAACAGACTGGATTTTGTGAGGAACTAATAAATCCTTGGAAGGCCTGGACACAGTCCAATCAGTGAGCGCCTCCGGCAGGCAAGGCAGCGTTGGCTGGGTCAGTTAGCCTGCATGCCCACCCACCGCATGCCCAAACAGCTTTTGTTTGGTCGGATAGAGGGAGATAAACGGGCGCGGCATGGGCTAGAGAAGAGATGGAGTGATGTGGTACAAGAGGATGTGGAGCTGAGTAGAGTTGCCGATAACTGGTACCAGCGGTGTCAAGATCGACCTCTATGGAGGAGGCTCGTGAAGGACGATGCCACTGGGCAGTTGGAGGCAGTCGCCCTCCAGCAACAACGGAGGGCAGAGGAGCGATGGCTTACAACAACGTAGCAAATCGGCACAGTAGGGGGCACAGGTGGTGCATAAGCCAGTCATCTCAGTGGGTTAACCTATAGCACCTGGGGTCTGTCCCGTGACCTCCTGCCAGCAGCGAACCTCAAAGTGCACCTAGCCTAGCACAGGTGGCGAGGTGACGTCGCCGCTACTTAGTGGCGAATGGTGGCTGCTGCTGCTGCTGTTGCTGTTGTTGTTGTAGTTGTACAGGGGTCATAGAGGTCACCACATTCCACGGGGCGGTAGGGGTTACCGCTCATGGGTCTCAGGACAGTAAAAATAAGCAGCAGAAGCCTCCTTCCCGCGTCTGTCACTCCACATTAAAAACAAATACATGTGTGCTGTGCATATATATATCATCCCAGCAGCCACACAGCCTTATGGGAGGCGCATCACTTCAGCGGGATTGGTTCAGTCCGGGTAAAAAAAACCCTGGACCGGTTTCGACACAACTAGGTCTCCTCGGCACAGCCAGGCTTCGCTCCAATCAATGCTGGTGAACTGCCAGAAGCAAGGGCTTCTAGATCAACGCAAAGTTGTACAATGCACAACTCAAAAGTTGCATAATGCACAGCTTAAGTGACTGCATATGAGACACTGAGTGCTGATGATTATCTGAACCCGTCCTGGGCCTCCCCTAGGTCAACTCGACCTCAAATGAGTACCTGGTGCGGTGTGTAAAAACATCCCTACTGGGGAGACAAAGGCGGCCGGTGCGTGGTGCTGGCCATCCATCCCCTTGTGTGCCGTGCCGGCCTTCACAGGTGCTACCTGCTAACAGCACTTGTCCCAACAGTCTGTTTAGATTACTTAGATTTGTTGGCTGTTATAAATTTACACATGATAAGCCACTTCGTTGAGCTATCATTTGTGGCCAGGTCGCTTCTGAAAAATAAGCTATATAGCTCAGTGGGCTTTGCCTGGTAAGAAAAAAAAATGTGTTTTTAGTGATTTCCCTACCTTCCCTGTCGTGTTTTGGTATTGTTTGTTTTTGTAACTTTCTCGCTGATGCCCCATACTGAACATGTGTGCAAAAAGAGATTTGCAGCTCATCGGATTCATCCCAAATGAAGATTCTGATTCCGTGAAGGCTATTAGGGGGTTGGGCGAGGCTCTTTGTGTTTTGGGTCTCGGGAATGTGCCACCTCAAGGTGGCACTGGGGAATGTGGTGGGACAGGGGCAGTGGGAGTGGGGGGGGTCGTGGTTGTGGTGGAATCACGTGGGGGTGGGGAATGGGTGGGGTTGTGTTCAGGGTAGGATCACGTGGGGGTGGGTAGTGGGTGGGGTGGTGTTCATGGTGGAATCACGTGGGGCGTGGCAGTGGGTGGGGTTGTGTTCAGGGTCGGATCACGTGGGGGTGGGTGGGGTGGTAGAGGCCGACCGAAATTCGGTTTCGATTTCAGCGCCGAAAGTTGGCAAATGCTTTCGGCATCGTTTCTGTTTCGGCCGAAGCCAACAAGTTTACTTTCGGTTTTATTTCGGTTTCGGCCGAAAGTAAATTTTTAACTTTCGGTCCGGTTTCGTTTTCGGCGGAAACCAGAAATTCAGTTTCGGTCGGCCTCTAGTTCAGGGTAGAATCACGTGGGGGGTGGGAGTGGGTGGGATGGTGTTCAGGGTAAAATCACGTGGGGGTGGGAGTGGGTGGAGTGGTGTTGAGGGTGGGATCACGTGGGGGTGGGAGTGGGTGGGGTGGTGTTGAGGGTGGGATCACGTGGGGGTGGGAGTGGGTGGGGTGGTGTTGAGGGTGGGATCACGTGGGGGTGGGAGTGGGTGGGGTGGTGTTGAGGGTGGGATCACGTGGGAGTGGGAGTGGGTGGGGTGGTGTTGAGGGTGGGATCACGTGGGGGTGGGAGTGGGTGGGGTGGTGTTGAGGGTGGGATCACGTGGGGGTGGGAGTGGGTGGGGTGGTGTTGAGGGTGGGATCACGTGGGGTGGGGGGGGTTCTCGACATGGAGTTAATTTCAGCCGGTTGGGTGTGCCACAGGATAAAAATGTCAGTGCCGTACCCGGCACACCACATCCAGTATGCGTCTTGCTCTGTGCTGTGGCTGCCGCTACTACTACTGCTGGTCGCGTGCCACCTACTCCCGTCCTACCAGTCACCTGCTGAGTGTGTAGCTGAGTCACCTGTAGCTGAGTCACCTGCTGTGTGTGTAGCTGAGTCACCTGTAGCTGAGTCACCTGTAGCTGAGTCACCTGCTGAGTGTGTAGCTGAGTCACCTGTAGCTGATTCACCTGCTGTGTGTGTAGCTGAGTCACCTGTAGCTGAGTCATCTGTAGCTGAGTCACCTGCTGAGTGTGTAGCTGAGTCACCTGCTGAGTGTGTAGCTGAGTCACCTGTAGCTGAGTCACCTGTAGCTGAGTCACCTGTAGCTGAGTCACCTGCTGTGTGTGTAGCTGAGTCACCTGCTGTGTGTGTAGCTGAGTCACCTGTAGCTGAGTCACCTGCTGTGTGTGTAGCTGAGTCACCTGTAGCTGAGTGTGTAGCTGAGTCACCTGTAGCTGAGTCACCTGCTGAGTGTGTAGCTGAGTCACCTGTAGCTGAGTGTGTAGCTGAGTCACCTGTAGCTGAGTCACCTGCTGTGTGTGTAGCTGAGTCACCTGTAGCTGAGTCTGTAGCTGAGTCACCTGTAGCTGAGTCACCTGTAGCTGAGTGTGTAGCTGAGTCACCTGTAGCTGAGTGTGTGTAGCTGAGTCACCTGCTGTATTTGGAGGTGAGCGCCCCCACCATGAGGGCGCTCACCATGCCCCCCACAGCGAAGATGGCGACAGAGAGGGCCCAGACCGCGGTGAGCGAGGAGGGAGGCATGGCCACGCCATGGCGACCCAACCACGTGGCATTGTAGAACCTGCGGATGATCTGCAACACGCGCAGAGCCACGCGCACAATGACACAAACATCACCCGTGTAGCCTTAACAGCCTCTAGGGGCAAGTGCTGTTAGCGAGCGCCTACAAAGGCCGAAATGGCACACGAGGGGGTGGGTGGCCAGCAACACGCCCGACCGCCTTTGTCTCACCAGTGGCGATGTTTACTACACACCGCACCAGGTACGCATTTGAGGCCGAGTCAACCTAGGTGAGGCCCGGGATCGGTTCAGAAAATCGTGACTGGTGTTGGCCGTGAGCGGAAATCGAACCCGTGTCGCCGGGTTCAGAGCACAGCGCGCTAACCGCTACACTACCGCTCCCCACAGTGACACACACAGTGACACACACAGTGATACAACAACAACCGCCATTCGCGGTGACGTCACCACGACGCTTGTGCCAGGACATGTGCACCTTGAGGCCACGTGAAGTTTCGAACGCCCGCTGGCAGGTGGTCACGGGGCAGACCCAGGTGCCACGGGTTGACTGACTGAGATGACTGGCTGATGCACCACCTGTGCCCCCTACTGTGCCAATCTGCTGTGCTTTAGCCACCCGGCGCTCCGCTCGTTGTTGTGAGCATCGCTCCTCCGCCCTCCTTTGTTGTTGGAGGGCGACTGCCTCCAACTGCCCAGTAGCATCCTTCACGAGCCTCCTCCACAGAGGCCGATCTTGACACCGCTGGTACCAGTCATCGGCAAGTCCACTCAGCTCACGTCCTCCTGTACCACATCACTCCATCTCTTCTCTAGCCCGTGCCGCGCCCGTTTAGCCCCCTCGATCCGGCCGGAGGGACCTTGACCAGATCTTTCAAGGATTTGTGAGCTCCTCACACAATCCAGTCTGTTTAAACCCAGGATGGATCGTAGGCAGGCCAACCTAAATGTGTTTAACCGGCGAAGATGTTCCATTAGGTGGGTTCACGTTTCGCAAGCGTAGAGAAGGGAGGGAATGACCGTGGCCGAGAAGACCTGAAGCTTAGTGCGGAGAGACAGACCAGGCAGCTTCCACACAGCGTTACGCAACCGATGAAAATATATTGCCGCTCGACTGATTCGGAGAGAGACCTCTGCTGTTAAACTGGAGCCGGTCATAAGCACACTGCCCAGGTATGGGAAACTCTCCACTCTCTCCACAACTGCCCCATCACCGATTGGGAGTTGTGGGGGTGGAGTGTCCGATGGTACAAAGTACCCAGGCAGGTGCTTAGTTTTGGTGGGGCTGATGGTGGCACGCTCCAGTCTCAGCAGCAGCGTCTCCAACTCCTCCTCTGAATGAGCAGCTATTACCAAATTATCCGCATACATAACGTGGTTGAGCAATAGGGAGCCATCCCTTGACCGCACCCGGGCATCGATCAACCTCCCATTATATCTGTACCCAAAGGAGATTCCCCCGGTACAGCTATTGAAGGCTTCACAAACTACGTGGTCAAAATAGATGTTAAATAATGTGGGAGCCAGAGGACATCCCTGTCGCACCCCAAGGTGTACAGTTAATGGCTCTGACTCCCGGCCACGTAATTTTACCCGGGCCCGCTCACCATCATGAAGGTCCTTAATGATCGTGAGCAGAGGGTCAGGGACTCTAAAAGCACGAAGAACAACCCAGAGCCCAGGCCCACTGATGGTATTATAGGCCTTGAACAGGTCAATAAAGCAGAGATGTAGGTCTTGTTGGAATTCCCTATACCTCTGCTGTAGCAGACGGATAAAAAATATGGCATCTGTGCAGGAGCGCGCTTTCCTGAAACCGCATTGGGGCTCCGCAAGCCTCTCCTCAGCGTGCCTGGCAAGGCGATGTTGAATAATCCTTGCCAGGACCTTTCCCGGCACGCTGAGGAGTGAGATGCCCCTGTAGTTGTTACAGTCTGTGCGGTCCTCCTTCTTAGAGAGGGGGACCACCAGGGCATCCTTCCAATCCTGCAGAACCCGTCCAGTGGTCCAGACTGTTGTTATGATGTCATATAGGGCAGTCTGTGCACAAACGCCACCCTCCCTCAGCATTTCGCTTGGGAGATCATCTCTGCCCGCTGCCTTTCCTGGTCTCAGACTCCGGATCGCCTTCAGTACTTCCTCAACAGATGGTACTTCAGCCAGCCACTCACAGGGGGTGAGTTCTTCCGATATTTGAGGCACCGCAGCCTCAGCAGGGTCATCCTCACTTTGTGCCACGATGTTTTCCTGGCTGAGGGATTTTACCTCCCCAAATGACCTCACAGAAATGTTCAGCAAATCTGCAAACCTGTTCCTGGGGGTCGGAGATTGGATCACCGTTTTTTCCCCTAATGATGGTAATAGGTGTGGCGCTGCAGGTTACTTTTTTGATGGAGTTAAATATAGATTTGTGATCGCGGGCCACTGAGGCAGACTCAATCTCCTCAGCAACCCGTGACCACCACCCATCCTTGCAGCGCCTCACGGCTCTACGAACCGCCCAGCGAAGGCTGCGGTAAGCCTCCTCATTCTCTGACGTGGGATTCTGTGGCCAATGACAGTGGGCCTGTCGCTTTTTCTCAACCATCCTGAACACCTCCTCTGTCAGCTAGGGTCTCTGGGGAGGTCTGAACCGCGTACCCAAAGCAGCCATTGCAGCTGCATGAGTCACAGTCCTAAACCTCGCCCATTTACCCTCGATCTCAGGAGGAGTGGGAGACGATGCCATTCCCAGCCACAAGCGATGATGAAATTCTAGCTTGAAACTTTCATCAGATAGCTGAGACCAGGCCACTTTAGGTTGGAATGGGGTCCTGGGTGTACACCCACCACCGGAGTGGAAGAATGTCAGGCGCATCTTACAGATGACTAGTCGATGGTCAGAGGGCAGATCAGCTCCACGGTAGATCCTGGTGTCAAAGACATGGGCTCGCATCCGCTGGTCCATCATTATGTAGTCCAGCAGATGTTCTTGCTTGGACCCGGCATGCATCCATGATGTTGTGTGGATGCGCCGATGCCGGAACAGCGTTTTGGTAATTACAAGCCCATGGGCTGCCCAAAAATCTAGCAGCCTCCTACCGTTGTTATTGAGCTGATCTGGCCCATGCCCTCCAATCACTCCAGACGAGGTGTCAGCATCATGACCAACTCGGGCATTGAAGTCACCCAACATGATGGCTCTATCCCGAGGTGCCACTTTAGCCAGCACCTGTGACAGGAGGTCATAGAAGGCATCTGACTCATTGGCTTTGCCTGCATCCCTCCACGGATGTTCGTCTTCGGTGGGGGCATAAGTAACCACGACCACCACTTCTCACCTCCGGTTGATGGGAAGGCGAGCCCAAAGTAGCCTGGGGCTTACAGCTTCCCACACCTCACTGCCACGCTCCCACACCCCCTTCATTCTTTTGTTCAAAAGACGAGCCACACCCTGTTGTTTGGCAGTCTGCTGCCCCGAGTAGAGGACTGTCCACCCCTCATGGTGGCAGGAGCCAGAACCGGTCCACTGGACCTCCTGAATGCCACAGAGATCCAAGCCCTACCGGTCCAGCTCCCGATAGAGGAGTGGCAGCCTCTACTCCGCAGTGAGCGTTCGAACATTCCACGTGGCCATCCGTAGTGGCTTTTCGTTGTGACGCACACAGTGACACACACACAGTGACATACACACACAGTGATACACACAGTGATACACAAACTATGACGCACACAGTGACACACACAAAGATAAAGACAAAGATCCCCCGTATAGCCTTAACAGACTGTAGGGGCAAGTGCTGTTAGCGAGCACCTCAGTGACACACACACAGTGACACACACACAGTGACACACACAGTGATACACACACTATGACGCACACAGTGACACACACACAGTGACGCACACAGTAACACACACAGTGATACACACACAGTGACGCACACAGTGACACACACACTATGACGCACACAGTGACACACACACACAGTGACGCACACAGTGACACACACAGTGACACACAGACACAGTGATACATACACTATGACGCACACAGTGACACACAGACACAGACACTCCACGTCACTCTATAGAACCTCCAGATGATCTGACAGTGATGACGATGATGATGACGATGGTGAGGTTAATGATGACGCTGATGATGACGTTGATGATGACGATGGTGATGATGCTGATGATGACGATGGTGAGGTTGATGACAAAGATGATGGTGACGTTGATGATGACGATGGTGAGGTTAATGGTGACGATGATAAGGTTCATTATGACGATGATAACGAAGATGATGACGATGGTGAGGTTGATAATGACGATGGTGATGACGTTGATGATGACGATGGTGAGGTTGATGATGGCGATGGTGAGGTTAATGATGACGATGGTGATAATGATGACGTTGATGATGATAATGACGATGGTGAGGTTGACGATGACGATGGTGAGGTTGATAATGACGATTGTGATGACGTTGATGATGACGATGGTGAGGATGATCGTGACAACGATGACATTGATGACGTTGATGATGATCACAATAGTAATGACGTTGATTGTAATGATGCTGACGACGATGACGATCGTGATGATGATGATGCTGATATTGATGATGACAATGGTGATGACTTTGATGATGCTGATGATGACGGTGGTGAGGTTGATGACAAAGATGATGATGACGATGGTGACGATGATGACGATGTCCTGCCCACCTGCTCGGGAGCGTTCGTCACGCCGATGTTGTAGCCGAACTCAAAGGAACTGAGCACGGCGGCGCACACGGAGACCAGCAGCGGCGCCGTCAGCTGCTGCTCGCCATAAACAACAACAACAACATCAGCAACATTATCAACAACATTACAACATCATGAACAACATTATGAACATCTACACCAACATCAACAACAACATCCTCAACATCGACAACATCATCATAACATCATCATACCAACATCATCATCAGCATAAAAACATCATCATCATAACAAAATCATCATAACAACATCATCATAATCATAACAATATCATCATCATACCAACATCATTATAACATCATCATCAACAATATAACCGACAACATCATCATCATAACAACATCATCATCATAACATCATCATCATCATAACATCATCATCAACAATATAACCGACAACAACATCATCATAACAACATCATCATCATCATAACATCATCATCATAACAGCATCATCATCATAACAACATCATCATATCATCATCAACAATATAACCGACAACAACATCATCATCATCATAACATCATCATAACAACATCATCATCATCATAACAACATCATCATCATCATAACAACATCATCATCATCATCATAACAACATCATCATCATAACAACATCATCATAACAACATCATCATCATAACAACATCATCATCATAACAACATCATCATCATCATAACAACATCATCATCATCATAACAACATCATCACCAGCGGCGCTCGCCAGGCCTGCGCTACGCACCAGGAGCCCGTCGCGAAGTCACGAGGGTGAAGCTCTTCAGAGAGACAAAATGCAAAGTCGAAGTCGAACCAGCCGACGACGTCCAGGACACGGTTCGGACAATCGCCACCACTGTTGGTGACCGTGAGCGGGGACTCGAACTCGGTTCGCCGGGTCGCCGGCACAGCGCGCTAACCGCTACACCACCGCTCCACGAAAGACAAAGAGCCCCCGTATAGCCTGTGACAGACCGTTGTGGCAAGTGCTGTTAGCGAGTAGCACCACCCACGAAGGCCAGAACGGCACACGAGGGGGTGGGTGGCCAGCACCACGCCCGGCCGCCTTTGTCTCCCCAGGTGCCACCACCGGTTATCTGAACCGGTCCTGAGCCTCCCCTAGGTCGACTCAGCCTCAAATGAGAACACTGGTGCGGGTGTGTAAACATCGCCACTGGGGAGACAAAGGCGGCCGGGCGTGGTGTTGTCCACCCACCCCCTCGTGTGCCGTACTGGCTCGCTAACAGCACTTGGCCCAACATTCTTGTAAGGCTACACGTGGGGGTCTTTGTCTTTGTGTATCTGTTTCGAGCAAAGCAACAAAAAAATTCCCCCACCCCCCACCCCCCAAATGAATAAATAAATAAAAGATGACTTCTGTAGCTGAATAATATTATCTGTGAAAACGAGAGAATCATTCTGCAAGCGTCGCACCTTCAGGGAGGTGAGGCACGGGGGCCCCCTTCACCCCCCGTGGTGCGGATGAAAGGGTGAGCCCCAAGAGCAGATGGGATTCCTTATTTTTCGTTGTTATTATTGTCGTCATCGTCGGTTGTTGCTGTTGTTGTTATTATTATTCTCAACGTCATCCCGCCTTCCTTGGCGTAGGGAAAGCCCTCGCAGTGTCTCGAGGCTTTGTTTACAGGAGGGTCCTGCCAGATTTGTGTTTTCCTCGCTGCCGTGCGATCAATCGCGGCTGCGGCGGCTTGGAGATGTTGACTACCTCGCCTCGTGTACAGGAGGTCGTGGGTTCGATCCTTACCCTGACGATGCCTGCTGCTGTATATTTGGAGTTTGCGTGTCTCTCTCTCTCTCTCATCATCGTCACGGTGGCCAGGAGATGTTAACTACCTCGCCTGGTGTACAGGAGGTCGTGGGTTCGATCCTTACCCTGACGATGCCTGCTGCTGTATATTTGGAGTTTGCGTCTCTATCTCATCATCGTCACGGTGGCCAGGAGATGTTAACTACCTCTCCTGGTGTACAGGAGGTCGTGGGTTCGATCCTGACCCTAACGCCCGCTGCTGCTGTATATTTGGAGTTTGCTGTTTCCTTCTCCCCGTGGTCGCGTGGATTTTTCTGCGGGTCCTCCGGTTTTTTGCTCCACATTTCGAATCAACATCACGCGTTTAGAGTCTTTGGCTGATATAAATGTCCACGTGATGATAAGCTCACTTCGTTGAGCTATAGTTTGTGATGGCCAGGTCGCTTCTGAAAAAGAGCTACGTATCTCAGTGGGGTCCTTACCTGGTGAAATAAATAAATAAATATATAGTTCAGTTAGGAGTGATTTGCAGGAATTTGTTTTGTCCAGCATTGGCATGCGCTTTTGGTCGATATGCGGTTACACTACGCGTGGGTTCAGCTAACAAACTGTAGGGGCAAATACTGTTAGCGAGGCCGACACAACCTTCATAGGTTCGTAGCGCAGCACACTAACCACTTCACTACCGCTACACTACACACACTCACTACACACTCACACACTCACTCACACACTCACGCACACACTCACGCAACAATAACAACAACCGCCATTCGCCACTAAGTGTCGGTGACGTCACCACGACGCTTGTGCCAGGCTATGTGCACGTCGAGGCCACGTGAAGTTTCGAACGCCCGCTGGCAGGAGGTCACGGGGCAGACCCAGGTGCAACGGGTCGACTGACTAAGATGACTGAGATGACTGGCTGATGCACCACCTGTGCCCCCTACTGTGCCAGCTTGCTGTGCTTTAGCCACCCGGCGCTCCGCTCGTTGTTGTGAGCATCGCTCCTCCCCCCTCCAATGTTTTTGGAGGGCGACTGCCTCCAACTGCCCAGTAGCGTCCTTCACGAGCCTCCTCCACAAAGGCCGATTTAGACACCGCTGGTACCAGTCATCGGCAAGTCCACTCAGCTCCACATGCTCTTGTACTACATCACTCCATCTCTTCTCTAGCCCGTGCCGCGCCCATTTAGCCCCCTCGATCCGGCTGAACAAAAGGTTATGTGTTTCCCCTCTCTCGTAAATTTAGCTCTTCTGTACCTGATGATGGCTGCTTGTGTTTCAACCGAAACATCGTACGCTATTATGTTATTTTATTATTTTTTATTTATACGTGACTTTACCGAAAGAACCAAAGATGAACAAAAGCTGTTTAGGCATGCGGTGGCTGGGCATGTGGGCTACATGACCCAGCCAACACAGCCTTGCCTGCCGGAGGAGCTCATTGATGGGACTTTTTTCAAATCTTTTAAGGATATGTGAGCTCCTCACACAATGCAGCCTGGTTAAACCCAAGATGGAACGTAGGCAGGCCAGCCTAAACGTTTCTAACCGGCGAAGATGTTCCATTAGGAGGGTCCACGTTTCGCAAGCGTAGAGAAGGGAGGGAATGACTGTGGCCTAGAAGACCCGAAGCTTCGTGCGGAGCGACAGACCAGGTAGCTTCCACACAGCCTTACGCAACCAATCAAAAGATAATGCCGCTCGACTGATTCGGAGTGAGACCTCTGTTGCCCACGATGTTTTCCAGGCTGAGGGAGTTCCCCTCCCACAGGACCTGACAGAAATACTCAGCAAATCTGCAAACCTGTTCCTGAGGGTCGGAGATTGTATCAGTGTTCTTTCCCCTAATGATGGTAATAGGTGTGGTGCTACAGGTCACTTTTTTGATGGAATTAAAGAGCGAATTGTGATCGCGGGCCATTGAGGCAGACTCCATCTCCTCAGCAACCTGTGACCACCACCCATCCTTGCAGTGCCTCACGTCTCTTCCAACCTCCGAGCGAAGGCTTTGGTAAGCCTCCTCATTCTTTGACGTGGGATGCTGTAGACGGTGAGAGTGGGGCTCTCACTTTTTCTCCACCAGCTTGAACACCTCCTCTGTTAGCCAGGGTCTCTGTGGAGGTCTAGACATGTACCCAAGGCAGCCATTGCAGCTGCATGAGCCACAGTCATAAACCTCGCCCATTTCCCCTCGACATCAAGAGGAGTGGGGGACGATGCCAACCCCAGCTGCAAGCGATGATGAAATTCTCGCTTCCAACTTTCATCAGCTAGCTGTGACCATGCCACTATGGGTTTGAATGGGGTCCTGGTTATACACCCACCACCGGAATGGAAGAATGGCAGGCGCATCTTACAGATGACAAGTCGATGGTCAGTGGGCAGATCAGCTCCACGATAGGTCCTGGTGTCAAGGACATGGGCCCGCATCCACTGTTCCATCACTATGTAGTTCAGTAGATGTTCTTGCTTGGACCTGGCATGCATCCATGATGTTGTGTGGATGTGCCGGTGCTGGAACAGCGTGTTGGTAATTACAAGCCCATGGGCTGCACAAAAAAACTTGTAGCCTCCTTCCGTTGTTATTGAGCTGATCTGGCCCAAGTCTTTCAATCACTCCAGAGCAGGTGCTAGCATCATGACCAACTTGGGTATTGAAGTCACCCAACAAGATGACTCTATCCCGAGGGGCCCCTTTAGCCAGCACGTGTGATAGGAGGTCATAGAAGACATCTGACTCATCGGCCTTGCCTGCATCCCTCCACGGATGCTCGTCCTCGGTGGGGGCATACGTAACCAGGACCATCACTCCTCGCCTTCTTTTGTTGAGAAGAAGAGCACTCTCTGTTGTTTGGCAGTCTCCTGCCCCGAGTAGAGGACTGTCCACCCCTCATTGTGGCAGGAGCCAGAGCCGGTCCACCGGACCTCCTGAACACCACAGAAATCCAGGCGGTACCCGTCCAGCTCCCGAAAGAGGAGTGCAGCCTCTCCTCCGCAGTGCGCGTTCGAACATTCCACGTGGCCATCCGAAGTGTCTTTGTGTTAATTATTTCTGCTCATGTGTCTGTATATGTGTCTCCGGTTCTGTGTCTTATCTCTCTCTTAAATCTAGCAATCTTTAGAAGAACGTAATCAACCAGGTAGGGTCTTGACTGTTATGTTAGCCGACTATCTGCGCTGTATTCCATTATATTTCTAAGTTTACTAGGTTTGTTTCTCTTCCAGTTGTACCTGCATGATGATTGCTCGCGTTGCAATCGAAACGTCGTATGATATTAAGTAATTT